TATCCAAAGAAGTGGGCTGTAGTCCATGAAAGCTTATGCTCTAATAAATTTGTTAGTCTCTAAGGTGCCACAAGTACTCCTGTTCTTGTTCCTATTATTGCTATCTTCATCCTCTTTTCTCACTTAAGTCTTGTCTTAGATTGTAAGCTTTTCAAAGCTGGAACCTTGTTCTCCCACCATTCTTTTTTTCTTTTTTTAAACAGTGCCTGGTACAATATGGTCCTGAGCAATTCAATACAGTAATTCATAACTATAATAATATTTCAGCTTCAACCTTCTTCAGGAATCTCTCACACACACACGTACCCCCTCCAAACGAGAGTGATTTTCATGCCAGAAATAAACTGTGTCACTTTCCTACTGTAGAAAATAAATGTCCCTACACTGGGGGAAATAAAAAAAATCCAAGTGAGAATTAATATTTCAACAAAGAATCCTTGAAGGAATGAGTGTGGGTGTCGGTCTGTGTAATGTCAGTCTGGGTTTCAGCCCGTCTTATCTCTGTAAGCTAATCTCTCATTTAAAAATAACAGAGTTCACATAATGTTTCATGTTTTGCTTCCATTACATAGTGCACAAAGTGCATTTCCTATCATTGTACTGAAATCTTATGAGATTTTGTAGACATTATTAGTCAGAGTTTGGGAACCACAAGAGGTTTCGAAGGTTCTGTCTAATTTTCGCAGCTTCCAAGAGTTCAGACTTGGCTATATCCTAAGGTCCTTCCTCTTTTTTTTTTAATTAAGTTCTTACTCAAGCAAACTCCTACTGACTTAATTAGGAGTAAGAACTGAGTAAAAACTGAACCTCAGGATTTGATTAGACACATTTTCTGAAACATTTTGGTCTGCAACTTAGGCTGGAAATATGTCAAAAGCTGGATTTCTTTCTCATGAAATCGTCTAGTTTTGGTTATTACATTTGGTAATAAATCTGGGAGTCGTATTCTCATTTTAATGCATAACTTGCATTAACACTAACTGAAGTCATGTGCATATACCCAAAGCCCTTGAGATGAGAATATTACCTTGACATCTATGTAGAATGTAGGACTTTTTGCAAAGTCACCTACAAATAGCTCATTAATAATAAACATCAATTAGTCTACAATCTGTCCTCCATGTTCTTTAATTTCCATGCAGGCTTTAATAGACTGATAGACCCAATTTGATGGTTATTCTGCTTTGGGATGCCGAGATATTTAAACCTGCCTTTTCTTCAAACTTGCCAGCAGCTCTCAATCTTCTGTGTTTATTGTGCCAGTACAATTGTGGGTTCCTGTTCCAAGCTACAAATGAGACAGCCTCATGGACCTACAGCAAACCAAATACAATAGCCATTCCCTTTAGCAATTACAAAGAAATAAAGATTTATATTTCTATATAGAGAGACCCCTTTCAGCTGGAGGACTTAATGTCATCAGAAAGGCCCTCAGGCACTGCAAGAAAAGTTTTGTCAAGAAGGCTTTCAATGAGGTTTCTGCTGCTGCATAAGTGTTTTTCAGGGACTTACTGTATCGAGAAGGTTGACTGGACCTGCCCATTCAAACAGTTACCAAATAGAGCAGGAAAAAAAAGAATCTCAGACACATGCACACTCCAGCTTTTTGATACTGGAAATTCTTATTATTCTTCTTTGGTTCAAATCGATTAACAAATAAATATCTTGGGAATGAAGTTATACACTGCATTTTTCTCCCCCAAGTCACCTGACAAAAAACTCCCTTCTGCACCCCCAAACAAATTAGAGTGATTAATACTGACTTTAAAAGGGTCACAATAAATTAACTTTTTTTCGGGGGGGGGGGGCGATTTCCAATGATTTAAAACAGCAGGTCTATCCCCCAGTTTGCCTCCGGCTTTGGGTGGAGATCCAAACAATCAACTATTTTTTTTCTCATATCTTCAGATGATTTTAATGAACATTTGGATGGTGAAAGATTTTGTTTTTTTAATATTCTCTGGCTATCCACTGAAAAAGAACAATCAGACACTAATAAGAGTGACTTTGACATGGCCAGATGAAAGCACCACAGTAAGAGCCGTGTTGAAAAAAGTTTGGGATTTGTTTTTTAAATGGATTGTTAAAAATAGGCAGAAAGACATGACTGTAGCATCCTGTTTGTTGATGAAAAAAGAGAGCTGCAATCAACCATCATATTACATTGTTCCTTTGCAATTATTTTTTTACTGTTTTCCAGTTGATTAATGAACTAAATACTGAATCTAATCTCTTGTTCATTGACTTCAGAAACATTCCCAGTGAATGCAATGGACATTGGATTGGGCCCCTAAGGTTTGATAAATAGTTGAATTAGGCATCATACCTTAAGAAAAGTCAGAGAAAACAGCAACAGAAATTGATAAAAATTGACGGTGACTCCTTAATACCATCATAAAACTGGAAATCCCACAATGATCTAAGGACACAATTTTGAAAACTGTTAGCTGCACCTTGAAGGTGCTCTACACCCTCAACTTCCATTGACTTCATTGAGTGGGGAAGATACCCAGTACTTCACAGGAAGCACTTTAACCTTTTAGGATGAGACTCCAAAATCAACTAAAATAACTCTAAACAGTGATCCAAAGTCTCTTTCTGTGTGTCTCAGGTTTTCACATTCCAGTCTACATTAATCGAGGAGAATACAGTGGCAGCCATTAATATCTTTGCTATTTTCTCCTAAGCATGTAGGAGATAATAATATCTGCAGTATTCCCTATTGAATGAGCATGGGAGAAAATCATATGTGACTGTTGTTAAGTCCCAGTTCTGCAACTGGATTCATTTGGACACCCATGTGTTATCGATGGGGCTCCTCCCACATAAATCCAATTGCAAGATCCATATGTAACTTTGTTCAACACTACATGAATCACTTGAGATCCAGCAAAAATAATTAGTGCCTATGACCTTTTGTCTTTAAAAATAGATTTTTTGATCCAGACTAACTGCCAATGTCTTCTGGTGCCAGATTTTTATGGTGTCCTTCTGCCAACCTGTCATAATTAATCCCCTTTTTTGGAAAACAGAACATGTGTTATGTTATTGCATTTTTATTCTGATGGGCACAAATACATTTCCCACACATCTCATATATCCCAGGCAGGTCCTCTGGCTTAGCCTTTGCCAAGTCAAAAGCTAAGTACACATCTCCTCTTTTGTTTTCATTTTCTAATATTACTTTCACCACCTCAGAGGTGGTAAAAAGAATATAATCCAAGCTTAGATGATCAAGACAGAGAGGGACACAGACCTCATGCAAGTGAAGGAAAGTCCATTTTAAAATTAACAGGAATCTGATTTCAGGCAAATTTGGAGATCACACCAGATATACGGTTGTTTTAAAGTAGGTAAGTCAAAAAAATTTAGAAAAAAAATGTTGTATCGACTCAACTTTGAGCCCATACAGCATTGAGATGAATCCATATCAATGATGCATTAGCGAGCAAAAGATTATGATGTCACCACAAACATCATGAAGTTACCATTTCCAAAACAGTAAAGCAGAAAAACAGACTTACAGGATCGGATGGGTCAGGATAGGGTGTTTTGTTTTTTGTGTGAAAGGGTAATCAATAAGGAATGCTAAACATTTGTTTTCTGTATTCTTTCTTAATATGACATACACACTTTTTACATAAGACAGGAGGACTAAAGGTTTTAAAATAATAATAAAAGAAAAAGATTGGATTGAAATAATTCAGCTTGTATCTGTTTTTCCATTTTGATTTCTTTATTTTTTGTTCATTTCATGAATTGGGTTATTCCCCCTCAAAATTACTCAGACCTTGTAAATTCAACGTTTTGCTTCTATCCTTACAGTCCTGGTATATTTATTATATGTTTAAGAGGGGATGGGATGAAGGAGAGGAATAAATAAATAGGTGAAGCTGCAGCAAATGGCACAAGGATACAGTCCCTTCCTGGAAAGAGGATTTTGTGGCGAACCATTTCTCCCATAATGCATCCCACAGACCATATATCCACTAGAACAGCAGAGACAGGGAAGTGTAGAAGGGGGGGAAAAAAAGCAAAGTTAACTAAGACACTTCACTCCTAAAGGAGGGGAAAAAGAGCAGGTTGATCAGAATAGTACAGTTTTTTCTCCTCCCACCAAACGCTAAAATAAGTAAATAGATAAAAGCACCATCAGGCTCAGTAAAATTGGAAAAATATTTGAAATATCAGCATTGTCAGAGTTTTTGTTAAACTAACTGAAATAAAAATATGCACCTTTTTTCACAGGAAAACCAACAGAGGTTTGTCAATACAGTCTCTCTCTGATTCAGGCAACATGAAAAATGCACCTAGACCCAATTAACTCACAAGCAGGCTTCATGTGTTGGAAACTGATCAGCTGAAAGCATGTCTAATCTATGTTAAAACCATCCAGGGGGTTTCAGCAGAGGGCTTACTGCTATGCTTTCTAAAACACGTGAAAAAGGAAGGCATGAACTTGAAGGGGAGCTCTCTCATTTTGCCCTCATCCTGCCCCTGAGATTGTGTGGAACCCACAGGGTAAAAAGGCACAACACTAGCCAGAAAGTAAAAATAAATAGAGATGTACAGCTGTGTTGGGTCTGCAAGGACAAACTGCACTTAGTGGGTGGGAAAAATACAAAGGTTGAAAATAAAAACCCAAATCCTTACTTTAAAAAAAAATAGTGATCATCTGGAATCACCTCCTACTTGGCTTTTGGGCCAGTTTATGGGTTTATTACTGCAGGATTGAATCTGAACCTGCAGCCCTCACTCACACTAGTTGTCCTAACTGGGACATAAGTAAGGACTGAAGGTCAGGACACCATCCTACAATCACTGAGTATTGCAAACTCCTGCTGCAAGATCCAGCTCTATGTAGGGGAAAGAACACAAAGTCTGGAATACACTGCCTATGCTGTGTACTATATAGGTACTGAAATACAGAACGCTGCATAGAGTGAATACCAGCATGTCTTCTAGGAAGGTTTCTATGCTTCCCATCCTGACTTCACGTACTGGATGCAATGTGCACTGTTGCTCATCTGTTTGGTTTAGGTTGGGTTTTTCTTCCTTGAAATTGTACAAGGAGGGGGAAAAAAAGACAGATACTTGATTTACAGAGTGTAAAGAAAGAAAGGATCAGCACTCTGAATGGTGAAGAAAAAACTATTTTTCAAGAAACTGCCATATTTTCCCAACTTCAAATCCTTGTTTTGTGATAATTTTTTTGGAATGTACAACCAATTTCTCCTCTTTTTCTTCTCCCCTTTTCATCCTTTAAAATACAAAATAAAAAACAAACAAACCAAAACTTTTTGTTGCTGTTGGTAAAACAAAATAAGGGTGAAATGTTTCATCTGGGAAAGGAGGGTAGAGGTATTAGGTGCACAGGACAGCTAAAGCATGCCTGAGGTGGGGTTAGAGTTTTCTTCTTTGTGGTAGTTTTGGGTCCTTCCAAGGTAAGTTCGGCAAAATGGTGCTAACTATGCATCGTTAGCCAATCGGGTGCAGAGAGAAAATGAAAGCAGCGAACAATCTTCATAGTCAGCATACAAAGTGTGGAGAAAAAAATGGGGGAGCTCATGTAATACAACAGCACAGGCCTGAGCAGCGGTGCAGAGAACAATCTTTCCCATTGACTTCAGTGAGACCTGGATCAGGTCCCTCAGACACATCAGCTCCTCAGATTTGCTGATCTGTATTTCCTTTATTCATTGTTTTCAAATTTATTTTATTTTTTAAATGTTTGCCTATTTTATCTTGCTCAATTGAAAGAGAAAAGCTCCTTGCTCACTTTCAGCTTGATCCATGGCCCATTGACATTAATGGGAAGCTCTCCATTAACTTCCAGGGCGCTTTGAGGGTTGCACACATTCTGAGTGCCTCCGCAAATCTGTCTTTCACTTGATCACAAAAGTGCCCCAAACTTTACCCAAGTGCCACTATAACAGCATGAAACCAGAGAAAAATTCTCTGCTGTGTCAAACACAACAACAAACTCGTTAACAATCCAATTTTGTGAGAGAACCACACAAAGCCTGAGCAACTCATTTTAGAATAAAAATAACCTAATATTTAGATTAGGGAATGATGACATGTGTGTTGATCCCAGTTAAGATTTTTGGAGGCACTCAGTTTATGAGAAAGCCAAGGTGCAACATATTTAGCACTTGTGCTATTTTTTCCCTAATTACTAACTACAGTATTAAAACCTGCATTGTGAATCCATGAATATTACCAGCAATTCATGTAATGAAATAGCTTACAGGTGTGTTATGAGCATGCCTGTATTATCGCTTGCGTAAAGAAATCCGTCTAAAAAACCAAGCATACAATGTCATTGTCAGCTGAAGAATGCTGTCAGTGTTACTTCAAATTCTACTGCATGTTAATTGGATTCTCCAACTTAACGTAAAATAGTGCGGAGCTTCTGCTACTTTCCCATTACATTTGTCATTGAAAAGGTTTCTTCATCTAACAGGGAGATTTGCTTTGGCATCAAAAATAATATAATAATAGACTTTTCTCCACTATATTTTCTACTCTTCTTTCCAGCCTGGTCTACCTAGCACCTAGACAGTTATAATGTTCAATTATGCTATAGAACAAGAACTACGTATTTGATAAAGCTTTCCCTTTATCCCTCCTACAATGAACTCTTTCTTATAGGCACCTCTGTAATATGGTAGCTCTACTTGCATCCCATAACCTGTCCAAGGACAGAAAGATACACCACCCGTAGGTTTTTCACAGCAGACCCCTCTATCTACATACAAGCGAAACAACAGAAAAGTAGTTCAGTTTCCTCCTCTTCCTCCCTTCTCTTTCCATTAAAGATGGGCTCAAGCTGCACAATTCAGATCTAGACCGTGTACACCCTAACAGCAGGTTGTTAGAGTCTGGGATGTTAGTTCAGCCTATTATACATACAGAAGCCATTCTTGAGATTTAAATCGGGTCTGCATCTTGAAACATTTGGGAATGTTTGGATTCCAAATTTGGTTTGGTCCCATCTCTTCTTCCCTCCTCACTAGAGAGGTCTGAGATTCAGAAGAACTGGCTTTAGATTATTTCATCCATTTGGCAACCCTAACAATTCCCATAATATATCTGGCTCACAGCAGCCTTTATAGGTACACACTTTAGTCAAAAAGGGCTTCTTCAGCTGTTCAGTCAGGCAAAGGAGTGCTGGTCAATCACAGGTTGTTAACCTGCAATACCATGTGGTTAAACTCAATGCAAACTGCATGACAAGAACCATCAGTTATTGCAGTTTGATTGCAATACTAGGAAAATTCAGATCTAACATCACTTTGGTTTTTAAATTTAAGGTGTTCCTTACTGCTATTATTTCCCTCTCCTGGTGCCCATAAATTGTCAAAGTAGCCCTGGCCCTGCCGGCCACATAGTCTTTGCTATTGAGGTACAGCCCTACCGTTCTCCTTGTAGCCCATTCCCAAGATGACCTCTGGTGCTCTGTAATAACGTGTCACCACATAGGGAGTCATCATGAAGCTGGTGCCTGCAGTCCTGGCCAGTCCAAAGTCCAGAATCTTCAACGTGCAATCGGACTTTACCACAATATTACTTGGTTTTAAATCCTGCAAGAGACACAAAGGAAAACAGACATGACTGCCATCTACGAAGGCTGTGCACACTGGCGATCTGGATCCATACTTTGGGTGGACCTCTAAACACTTCGCTGCTCCATAGCTGCATGTGCAGTCATTCACGGAAGGTACTTTTTAGCCTGTCTCTGAATCCTGTTGTTGCTTTGGCACCCCCTATTGGAACGTGTGTTCTAGTGATATAGTCCAGATGCTTCAAGCAGCTTGATTCCATCAAGAAGGACACTGCTAAATTGGAGAAATTTCAGAGACGTCAGGGAATGATTTAATGATTAGAAAACATGCCTCTCTCAGTGATAGACTGAAGGATCTCCATCTATTTTGCTTAACAACGAGAAGACTGAGGGATGACTTGATCACAGTACTTCAAGTACTTACATGGGGAATGAATATTTGATAATGGGCTCCTCAATCTAGCCGACAGAGATATAGAAAGACCCAATGGCTGGAAGCTGAAGCTAGACAAATTCTGACTGGAAATAAGGCATACATTTTTAACAGTGATGGTAATTAACCATTGAAACAATTTACCAAGGGTCATGGTGGATTTTCCATCAGTGATAACTTTTAAATCAAGACGTTTTAAAGATATGCTGTAGTTCAAAAGGAATTATTCTGGGGAGTTCTATAACCTGTGTTATACAAGAGATGATAGTAGATGATCACAATGGTCCCTTCTGGTCTTTGGAACTTTGAATACTTTCCTCTGGATGATGGAAGCATTCTGCTGTTAAATTAATAGCTCTAAAAGGCTTATAGAATCAGGGTGATGAAATATTTTTTTTTGTTTACACTTTATTCTGAGTGGGGCAGTGCCCACTGTGCTCCAATAACTAGAACCATCACAAACTGTGTATGCAGGTTCATATGAATATTTTATTTACAAAAACAATCTGACCCATTCTTTGCCTGGAACACTATGGGAACTATAGTAGCCAAACATACTACATCCTCTACACCAGTGCTTCTCAAACTTTTTTTTAACTGGTGACCCCTTTCACGTAGCAAGCTTCTGAGTGCGGCCCCCCTTATAAATTAAAAACACATTTTTATATATTTAACACCATTATAAATGCTGGAGGTAAAGTGGGGTTTGGGGTGGAGGCTGACAGCTCGCAACCCCCCATATAATAGCCTCGTGACCCCCTGAGGGGTCCCAACCCCCAGTTTGAGAACCCCTGCTCTACACAACGTATGTTTTAGGAAAGGAGGTCTTTGTATATTATAAAGTAACATTCAACATGAAAATCATTTCATCAGTCTTTCTTCCCTTCCCCTCAGAAGCCAAAAAAATTATTGTTTTTTGAGCAGAGGTTCCCAGGCTATTTTCATAGTGTGGACCACATCTTAAGAGAAAGTTTGTCTCATGGACATTTTCCCATGCATTCAGGGTCAGCTGGACCACCTCCCATCCTGTTCACAATTGTATGGACCATTTACTCTAGTATCAACAATTGCACGGACCACCTATCTTCTCATTCACTCCTGTGGCAACTACAGCAATTGCTTACATGATAAAATAATGTTGGGAACGTACTTAGCAAATGTTTAGCAGTCTTTTCATGCATTTAAGCAAATGAAAATGAGGAGAACCAATTACATATGACCAGACAGTTCTCCATGGAACTCCACCAAACGATTCATGGACCACAGTTTGGACACCATCAATTGATAGCATTTTAATGCACTATAGGTGACTGTCAGCCTTCTGAGAGCTAGCAACAGTTTCAGGAGAAAGTGCAGTTATCGCCACCTTCTCCCATAATCATAATCACTATGAGTCTTACACTACCTATGGCTCATTCCCTTTTTGTTTGATGATTAACTTGACAAACGTCCTCATCCCTAACATACAACCATGCAGCTAACTTGCCAGACACTTAGACTATTGACAGATAAGTCTCAATATTTACATTGAGAAGGCTGGGTCTTGATGAAGGGGTTGAATCACAAAGTTTGCATGTTGACATCACCAAGACTCTTAACAACAACAACTACCGGTATCTTGTCCTTCAAAGTGCAGTCCCCTTACCCTGTGAATGATTCCCGCAGAGTGAAGGTGCTTGATCCCACACAGCATTTGGTAGAGCAGGTAAGACATTCGTTCATGGTCTAATTCCATCTGAATCACCTGGCACAAGTTGGCATCCATCAATTCCATTACCAGGTAACTAGATAGGAGAGTAAAGTCATACAGTTATTGCCTGCACAGGCATGGTGCTTCCAGTAACTTCTGTGCAATAATCAACATTCACTTCTCTCTCTTCACAATCCTTTTTTTTATTTCCACTGTGAGATGGTAACGCAGATGGAGAAAAGATTTTGAACTGCCCATTCACCTGAGCCCCAGCACAAAGCTCAGTAATCCTTGAACCATTCTGTGATTTGTCTCCCATTGCAGCATTCCAAGAATGCCCCATTGACATCCTTGGAATATCAGGGATTACCTGGCACATTCCACAGCACAGCGACTGTGCTCTACATGGGCACACAAGGCAGCAGGATCCTCAAACATGCTGATGCCACATGCACCAAGCTGTGAGCCTTTTCTCCTGAGAAATGGCTATTGCAATTTGATCAGAGGGTTTCTTCCAGAGATCACTGGACTGATGGAGGTAGGAAGGGTAAATATATATTACCACAATACATTTGTCTGAAGTGATTATAAGACTGGGTGATCCCATATAGTTTTAATGCCAATTAACTAATCTGACTGTACACTGTGCTTCTGCTAAATAAGATTGAGCAATAGTCTTAATTGGATTTTAACTCAGTCCTCCAGAAGTGATTGGTTAATACATTTAACCCACCAGCTCAATTCTTAAGGGATATTTATTCTTAAGTAGAGATGAACCTTAACTGGGACACCGGATCCAAACTCCCTCAAACTTTGGGAAGACTCTTCATCTAGATTTATATGTGAGCTTCCCAACTCAGGCTCACCTCACCAATTCTTTGCAGAGGACTGAAATAACAAGATTATTGCAATGGGGCAGTAGATCTTTCTGCAGACACATGGACAGTACTTGCCTGACTCCAAACAATGCTATTAACTCCTCCCTTTTGTGATACTGCAATATGGAATAAGGTGCTGTAGACTGAAAGGCAGAAGCCATTTAGCTGACATAAAACAGCAACACTTGCGACTACCTGAAATTTGATTCAGGGCAAGTTCATTAAATGCAGTAGTGCCCATGGTGTAGACAATGTTCAGTGGAGCTCATACTCCGCCACTATTTCCCAAGGCAGACAAATTTTACACAGTCAAAGGTTATCCCACAATAAATATGAAAGGGAAAAAAATCTTTCACATCAGTCTCTTTTACAAGGATATTATTTCAAAGTGAATCACCACATTTTAAAGCACTCCCACATACCTCAGAGAGTTATACAACAACATTTCCTGAGCAAACCAATAACACAAAGGAACAAAGTACACTTCCTCATAGATGTTCATATTCCTCCACACTACCTGTCTTAAGAACAGCCATTAGCATGCTTTGCACGCGTGTTCTATTCCAGATCTTAGATACAAAGGTGATAGGTGCCTTATACATACCTAAAATAGGTCAGTCTACATTTTCAAATTCTATCTAAAGCTTCATCTTCACAAGATAATTTGCTAGAGGAGCTCATCCTTTTCATTATACTGGGATTTTTATGTTCACTATACAATACCAGGGCCCACCTCCCTCTAAAGCTTTAGTTTAATTACTGCCCGGGTTACTTACACATCCTGGAATTCCTCCAGAGATTTCTGTGGTGTGAAGACATTTAATAAACTGATAATCTGAAAAGCAGAGTGAGACAGAGGGAGGGAGAGAGAAGATAAACATATGCAGTTGATCACATTTTGAAGGACGGCTGTATTAAATAATAGCATCTGTTTTTCACTGTTCAATTTGCACTGACAAGTCCTGCTACAGTTGGCTAGTAAGCAGCTGGCAAATTTCAGAACAATTTTTCAGAACTCCATTATTGTTCAGGATGGATTTGAAAGGGTGTGTGAGAGAGGAGTGGTGATGGACAGCAACTAGTCAAAATGCTGAAGCCATTAGTCTTGTGAATTCTGGAGTTGCAGGTTCAAATTCCAGCCTCAGCTCAAACAAATGTGACAGTCCTTGTAAAGTCACTGGCCATTTCTGGTATATCAAGGCTATATGTCTGAGGGGAGAAATAATCAAACATCATCCTATTAAACACAAACACAGGACTTTCCATTCTCTCTGACATTTCTTAAATTTTTTGGCACAGATGCTCTTTCATAAAAAAAAAAAATCCAATTCCCAGCTGTCTTGCTGTCATACATATGTCTCAAAATGGGAGAACCTCAGAGAGCTCTGGAAAGTGTCCAGAGGTATCCTGCACACTACTCTGTCTTTTAAAGTGAGATTCCAGAGAACACGGCCAGTAGAGAATGCTGCTGACAGGAATCTGCTGGAGAGCTGGTAGTGCCTAGGAGGCAGCACATAGCAACAGTACCTCTGGGGGGGGGGGAAGGTTGTGGGACTTGGGACCTGAATTCCCTTCCTTTTCATGTGTGTGGGGGAAAAGAGAAGGAAGAATTCTGAGGAAACTCCATGAAAAGAACCTTACAGAGTCTTTATCCGCACTTGGCTCCCTTGGCAGGCTTTCTTAGTGGGAAAATGTGACTATCTGGGCTTATATTTTTTAAAGAAAGCCTTAATTTTCTTTCTTACTGTTCTATCCGCCTCTTTGCCTCTGCACTTTTATCTTTCCTCCACCATCTTTCCTTGCTTCTTCCCCCTTTTCTCAATATTTTTGAGATATCTCTCTTCTAATGTTCCTTTGAAAGCTTTAACGACAGACAGCTAAAACTTAAGAGCAGGTAATAGGTTTACAGCTGTTGCGTCATATACAGTAGAACCTCAGAGTTACGAACACCTCAGGAATGGAGGTTATTCGTAACTCTGAAATGTTCATAACTGAACAAAATGTTATGGTTGTTCTTTCAAAAGATTACAGCTTAATGTTGATTTACTACAGCTTTGAAACTTAAATTTTCCCTTTTTTTCCATAGTCTATGTTTAACACAGTACTGTACTGTATTTGCTTTTTTTTTGTGGGGGGGGTGTCTCTGCTGCTGCCTGATTGCATACTTCCAGTTCCAAATGAGATGTGTGGTTGTCTGGTCAGTTCGTAACTCTGGTGTTTGTAACTCTGAGGTTCTACTGTATAGTACTTTTGTAATAGTCTATTTTTCAAATCAACCCCATCTTTGTAGCCTTCTGCCCCTTCCAATACATTAAGAATCATGGGTAATAATGCACCATATAGCCTCTAATTATGTGCCAAACACAACTCACCCAGCTCTGCATTTTCAAACTAGTGTGCAGCGATCTAAATCATGCCGTTTCCATCCAAGCCAATGGGAATGAGACAGCTAGAGCCCTGCACAACTCTTTGAAAATTTAAGGATAACTCAGTGTTAAGAAAAGTACAGCAAAATAACTCTAGGTGGGCTCTGTGAAGTGTCTGCCAGGCACACTATTCATCTGTAAATTAAAGGATCAAACAAATAGTCACTAGCGATAAGGTAGTAACAGGAGACTGATGGTAAATTACTATTTGCAACCTTCAGAGGAAGTCTTTGAATTGCACAGATTTTCATTCCAAACTCTTTGTGATTTCAGGGCTCTCTCTCATTGAAAGAAAAAACATGTAGCCAATTCCTTTCTCTTCCTGTGAACTAATGATTGAGAAATAGTGTGTCAAATATCACAGTCTATCAGGCTTCTCATGCTCATTCATTCAGTTTGTGTGGCGAGAAAGAGTCCTTTCAGGATCTGTGAAAAGTGTTTACAGGTAATGAACTGTTATTAATTTACTCTCAATGGAAACTAATGTGCACTGTCCATTATCATTATTATTTGTAACATCCCCAGTGGGCTAAAATCAGTCCACAGACATAGGAAGATACTAGCGTTGGATCTTAAGAGCTGGTAGTGACAACATACCATGCTACAAATAAAAGGATAAATGTAGTTTGCTTTTCTCACATGAGTAGTTCTACTGATTTCATTGGGACTTCCATAACACGGTTTGGCCAATTATGGTATAAGGGTAGTAACAGGAGTGGCGAGTTTGCACAAAAAGGAAACTAGCGGAGAAACATTTGAACAATGTAATGGGGTACCCATGGGTATCCCATAGCCACAAGCCACACTACACTGTATCAAACATATCATTCCAATCATTGAATACATATGTGGGCACCCCTAATGTAAACCTGTATGATGGCCATTCCAGTATAATGCTAAAGAAAGTGTTTATACACAAGGCAGGTGGAGGTAAGGAGAATTAAGAAAGACTAAAAATCTGCTGTCATTGTTCATTTCTTAAGATTAAGAAGAAATAAAACAAAATAGCATGTGGTTTCAGAGATTCTGGTTACACAGCATTAGTATGAACCATCCAAACAGTTGGCAATGAAGTAATCAGTAATAGCATCTTACATAACAGATTCCCATTGTGCTCCATAGGCTCTTTACAGGATTATCAATAAACAGAATCTTCATAATGACAATACAACTAAATACTCCAATAGAGGGGGCTAGATTGTGAATTCAGGAAGAGCTCTGAGCAAGGGGTGTGCTTTCACTGCACCACCATAGAAGTAGCTCCTGAAGGTAGCATGATTCAGAGACATTCCCCTGAGTCACAATTCCTTTCCTGCTTCCTCCGGGCTCCTGGAAGGATAGTAATTTACTGCTGGCCAATACCAGCAAATAGAGGGTGAAGCTAAAGCTCCATCCATTCTTTGCCCACCTCCTCTGGGGAAGGAGCAAGCATGGGAGTAGTCATGCTTACTCATATGTGCCAGGACCTAAAGTTAGGGTAGCCCATGTAGGGGCCTTACAATACATAGGTGTGTAGTCTGGGTCAAGATCTAGCCCTTAAAATAGCAGAAGTCATAAGTTAAAGTATCGCATTACAGCCTGAAAGGATGTGATTTTTTCCCTAACAAATCAAGCACACAACATCCCCCTGGTCCGCACAAGAAAACTTACATTTTTATGGTTCACACACTTCATGAGGACCAGCTCTCTGTAAGCTCGTTTGGCATGAGTTTGATTCTGAAATGGTCGGCTGAGCTTCTTAATAGCCACATTTCTGTCAAGGACGGCATCATATGCAGCGCTGCAGTGAATACAAATACAAGCTTTATATATTTTAAAAGGATATTCTTCAGTTTTAAGGGTGAATGGGATGTCTGGAATTTCCATCCAGGTGTCTTCTGAATTAACCAGAACTAGAGAGACAGACACGGGAATAACAGGCATGGGAAATCCACACACGCAGAGGGAGTGAGATCTTACAGCAATGGAACAGAGTACACACCATTACTTATAATTAATTTCAACTGCAGTGTAAGATTTACATGCAAAGCAGGGAAAGACCTATTAAACATAAAAAGTCACTGTAAAAGATGGATTTTACTATTCGGCAGCACATATACTAAAATTGGAACGATACAGAGTAGACTAGGAAGAACCTAAGGAAGCAAAGAGATTCAGAAGTATCTCTCTGTAGGTGAGAGTTCTCATCCTTATTTGGAACACTGGAAGACTATTTAGGATGAGAAGAAATCTGAGTTTTTGCTGTCTTCAGTGCAAAGCACACTTCTTTATGACTGCATATACAGCATCATTTATAAGAGCGAGCAATTATTATTGCTAAATTGAGGGAAATTCAAAAATTACATTAATTACTCAGAGATCTACAATTGATTGTACATAAGCATGTGCCTGTTGCATGTGATCTACAGAAGATATTAGAGCCAGGGCCGGCTCCAGGGTTTTGGCCGCCCCAAGCAGCCAAACAAAAAAAACAAAAAACAAAAAGCCGTGATCGCAATCACGATCTGCAGTGGCAATTCGGCAGGAAGTCCTTCGCTCCGAGCAGGAGTGAGGGACCGTCCGCCGAATTGCTGCCGAACAGCAGGATGTGCTGCCCCTCTCCGAAGTGGCCGCCCCAAGCACCTGCTTGGTAAGCTGGTGTGTGGAGCTGGCCCTGATTAGAGCTGGGATACCAAGCATGGGCACAATAAAACTAGTGTCACTGGAGTGATCCTGAAACCAGAACATAACTTCCCTACTCTTATCTCCTTTGTCTGTGATTTTGCATATCCAGTGTTGCCTCTGAAATATTATCTGGATGTATGTTTGGTTTAAGGTTTTATTCTTAGGATAGTAAACTCACTAGAGAGCTATAGTTAACGTATGCTAAATTGATAAGGATGCTAGTAAAACCTTCCATTCTCATGCCAAGCTAATGCTGAAAACAATAGCATTTGATTTGAATACGGAATAAGTAAGGAACAAGGAACAGGTCCTAAGTTAAATTTCTGGGAAATCATGATGTTTGTGTGCACACGCACACACTCAAAACTTCACTACACTCTGTTCCACAAGCAATATGCATTTATTTGCTCTTGCCTTCTCTAACAAATATACAGTGGCATGTCTATATAACAAACCCAAACAAACAAACCAAAATAATACTACCAAAACAAGATACTCCACTACATACATTTTTCCTCTGGGAAGAGGAAGAGAGAACAAACATGTGACAGAAGTTAGTAATATTGCTTAATGCACTTGTGGAAGGCACTCAGATACTGCGGTGATGACTGCCGTATAGGAAGATACACAGAATAGAATAGGACTATCACTGTCGCTTTTCCCATCACCATTAAGGACTTATTCAGCAACTGGCTCAGTGAACAAATCCCAATGTGCTCTAGAAAGAGTTAGTAATAATAATAGTCCCCTTTTGATTTAATTTCTTAAACCATTTCTCTAGAGTGAACCATCATATTCCAATAATTCTAGAAATGAAACCCTTTCAGAATAATGCTTACCATTTACATATCTGAATTTTAAAAATTAATTTCTAAGATGCGTCTGATGAGAACTCAAAGATCATGAAAAAAATTACAAGAAAAAGCAAGCAAACAAACAAACCCAGGCTCCAATTGTTTTCAACCAGATATCTGTCTTCCTTAAGCCAGCAACTAACAAAGTGTGTATGAAATGAGTGTTTAACAACGCTCTTTATGATCATTTCTCTCCTCTTGGTGAAGTTAAGTAATTCAATTTTGTTTTAGACAAAAAGAATTACGTGAACCAAACTGCATAATTTACCAAGAATGTTGTGTATGATCTCAGACTATATATTATCAATTGCCATTGCTTTATAACACCACACATCAAGAGCATAAGGAATCATCTCTAGGGAATATTTTTCTAAAAACAAAGAACAGCATCTTAGTTTAATGGACAAATTAAACCCAAGTTCAGAGGATAAATGATTTTTTTCAAAAACCTAATTTCTCTCTTCATTATTCTCTTATTCCTTATTATTTCAACAACAGTGAAAAATAAAAATGTTTCTTGTCACTAGCATCTATCCCAGCGCAGAATGGAAAGACCACAAAGACCAATGAAAAGTGAAAATAATTTATCTTTTACACTTAGGGTCTGCTCCGAGACTTACTGAAGTAAATTATGGAAAGACTCCTGTTTACATCAGAGGGCTTTGGGTCAGGCCCACCTCTAGATCTCAAAACGCTTATAATCAGAAATTAAACTTCCCACCACCACGTGAGATAAAGTAGTATCACCACATGGTGGGTGAGGAAACTGACGTCAGGAACAGAACTCAGCCCTCCTGACTGCCAGTTCTGTGCCTTAACAAGACCAACCTTGTTCCTCCTTGTTAAAGACTACAGGGAAAATGAGGAGCTCTGCATACTCAGCAGACTATTGCCTCCTGCACCAAGGAATTTCTCTCACATACCTCCTGCAGGATGCAAAAGAAACCAGAAAACACTTTAGTCTCCATCACCACCACTATTAATATGGATCTGAATAACTGTATTACCCAGCAGTTCCTGGTGTTGCATTTACTTTTCAAAAACAGCACAACTGAGTCTCCTCTTTTCTTTCTCCAGCAGGACACCAAAAGCAATTCTATTAATTAAGAATTACTGCCATTTTATAATTTACTTATGCATTAAAAGATCCTTTGGAGGAAGTTTTGCCATTGACATCAATGGAGTCAGCATTTCACCCTACCTATTTAACTCTAACACAGCTGAAAAAAAAACAGCTCAAAATGTTGAGATTGTAATATGACACACAATAAAGTGGTCTTTAAATAACCCTGATCTGTAGTGCTGAAACATGTCCATGTCAAGAGTTAGATTGGAGTGAATCTTTAATCTTGAAATGTGTGTGTTATAACAAAAGTAGAGATATAACTTCAACTGACATTCAAGAGGAAGAACAGTGACCACTAACCTACATACTAGAGTCAGAGTTTTTTTTTTTTTAAATCCCTTTTCCCAGGCTTTCCTATTACTTCAAATTCCGTCTTCCCTGACTTTAGACACTTATCACCATTACTATTCTCTATGAAGCAATCTCTTTTTGAGATTCAAAAAGCCAGATAATTTTTTCCCACCCCAAGAAAGATGTTATTGGACATTTAGTCCATGAATTGATTTATGGACATTTAGACACCCAATCATCACATTCCAAAACAAATGTTTCTTTTCTCAAATTAAGAACCCAGTTCAGGAAAGCATTGTTATTAAGCTCATGCTTAAACATCCTTCCTTAACATCAAGCACATTCTTAAGTGTTTTACTAACTGGGCCTTGGAATTCACTTAAGTTTATAAATTCTAATTTTAGAGTTTAATTCAAAACTTTTGATCTGCAACTTCAGTTTCTCTTTGCCAAAATGGAAGTTCTCCGTTGCTATAAGTTTTTTTTAATTCTTTTTATATTATTTATTTTCAAAAAAGATTTCCCTGATCAAGCGGGTATATTTATTATAGCTTTCCATCATGTAAATGAAAATTGTTTTTAAAATACATCTTACATTTTCCTTGAAGATAGTTTAAATGAAGAGGAAAGTATTTCACATAATTAAAAATTAATCATGGATATGGTTCTAAAGATTTTAGGATACTTCAAAACACTGTAGATTTCTACCTACACAGGGCATGCTCCAAAACCCATTGGAGTCAATAGAATCTTTCCACTTACTTCAATGAGCTTTAGACCAGGCCCGTATACTGTAACATCCAGGAATAACTAATTTGAGCCTGAACAGACAAAAGAGGAAGTTTCAGCTTTGTGGTCAGGAAGGAATCTTCTCAACATGCATGGCTTATTGGCAGTGACTTTGGTTTTTTTCCCACCTTCCTCTGGAGCATTAAGCAGAGGTCTCCTGTGGCGATCGGGTGGAAGGAATCCCACATTATCAATTTCCACCAAATACAGAAGGTCAGGTAGTGATGAACCTTTAAGCTTCCCATCTTCTTCTACGTTTGTATGGTATGTTAATGATCATTACCAAGTTCACCATTTACCAACTGTTACCTCACAGTGGTATCTGAGTAAGCACAGTAATTTCCCATCATAACTAAAGGGAAATACTGCACCATCTCCTATGCTGTCCCCAGGGGTCTGTACTGGGACCAGTACTATTCAATGTATTTATAAATGACCTGGACAAAGAGGTAAACACTGAGGTGGCAAAATTTGCAGATGATACAAAACTACTCAAGATAGTTAAGTCCAAAGCAGACTACAAAGAGTTACAAAGGGGTCTCACAAAACTGGGTGACTGGGCAACAAAATGGCAGATGAAATTCAATGTTGATAAATGCAAAGTAATGCGCATTGGAAAACATAATCCCAACTATACATATAAAATGATGGGGTCTAAATTAGCTGTTACCACTCAAGAAAGAGATCTCGGAGTCGTTGTCCAGCAGTCAAAAAAGCGAACAGAATGTTGGGAATCATTAAGAAAGGGATAGATAATAAAACAGAAAATATGATAATGCCCCTATATAAATCAATGGTAAGCCCACATCCTGAATATTGCATGCAGCTGTGGTTGTCCCATCTCACGAAAGATATATTGGAACTGGAAAAGGTTCAGAAAAGGGCAACAAAAATTGTTAGTGGCATGGAACAGCTTCCATATGAGGAGAGATTAATAAGACTGGGACTTTTCAGTTTGGAAAACAGATAACTAAGGGGGGATAAAATACAGGTGTATAAAATCATGACTGGTGTGGAGAAAGTAAATAGGGAAGTGTTATTTATTTACTCCTCATAA